AGGAAACGACGTACATATTATATAACAGCATATATTTGCAAATACTATAACTGCCAACTACTATTGCCTTCCCAACGACGAACAACATATATAACAAAAAACACAAAAAATGAAAAAGAAAAGGAAAACATATGGTTTTTTTTTTTCGTATAATATTGCTTAAGCAAATAAAAGAAAAATTGAAAAACGAGACGAGACGAGAATAACTTCATCTTCTTCTACTTCTTTCTAGCAACCATCTCATGTTTTTAATTGCATTTCAATTGTAACTTTTTGCCCTATAAATTTTGCATACAAAATGTATGTATGGCACCCTTCCTTCATTGCTTTTTGCCTGCCTGCCGCCGCCGCCGCCGCCGCCCCCCATTGCAAAGGCTATGTAATGAATACCGTACCGTATCCGTAGCTTTAAGCTGAGACGGGGTAAAGAGGAAGTCAGAGTTATTACAACAATTGTGCAACCAATCTCTACGTGAATATGGGAAAAAAAAAGGGTACAGAAAAATACTTAGTACGGACTGTTCCACTTCATTTGAGAAATAATTACAAGAAGATTGTTTAACATGTGTAGAGAGAGAGAGAGAGAGAGAGAGAGAGCGGGCGAGATACTGATGTATGTTTCTTCATTTCACCTATCAAGCCTCTTGCTTGCTTTTTAATTATAATTTACTACTACGCAGGTTATGTTATGATACTACAATACTTAAAATTTTGATTACATTTTTATATATATATACGTGTCGCCAGAGAAAATCAAAATGTAATGTAAGTTGGTTGTCATGTTAAGGACGATCCCATAAAGGCTATCGTAAAATGACTTTGGTGGGGAAGAACGGCAAGAGAATGACTTGAAAATGGATTGAATATAGGTAACTGCCGATATTATGTGTTCAGACGAAACATATTAAACGATTTCAGTTATAGCTGGACTGTGTAAAACTATCCAAAGCTCTCTTTTGCCAAAGGTAACTTTCGTTCGTTTTTCGATCTTAAAACACTGTATGGCGATACGCCCTTCTTTTACGAAGACATTAAATGATTTTTCTGTATACGTTCTAACGTATTTCGTGGACCATAGGAGGTGCGTAGAGGAGTCCAAAATTCGTCTTCAGGCGAATGTAGCTTTTCTCCTTACACTTCATTGTGTTCATTGTTTAACCGGTTGCAACATTGAAATCGATTTCGATTGCTGGGAAAAAATATAGTTTGAAAATATGATTTCTATGTTGCCGTTAAAACACACTCACTCACAGGAATTAAAACTGAAAAACTGTAATAAAGTTTGCATTTATTTTTTTGTTTTTTTTTGCTTTTTTTTATTAATTTTTTTTTTTATTAATACTGAAATGGAAATTAATGTTCTAGATTAAAGCCATATGCCTTTCGAGGACATATTTTAAATGTTGTCTACAAAGTAAAAAATTCAATGAAGTAATTAATTTTTAAAATAATGTATTGGAAATTTTTCTCTTTTTTTCGTAATCAAAACGAAGAAATGTTTTACTTAATAGAAATTCAAATAATAATCAAACTACGATAATGCTCGAATTATTCCCTTAATCCTTGATCCGGATTATTTGTTTTGATCGACAAAACAAGAACACACGACGACAACAACAAAAAAAAAATATATATATATTAGAACTACGAGAATTTTGTTATAAACATGCTTAAGGCGATACTTCATTAACTCAATAAACCAATGCTTACAACGAGTTCTCCTCCAGCATATTTTCATAAAAAAATTTCAAATAGATTTCTTAAAGCTATTTTTCATCGCTATTACCAAAGCCAGTTAGTTTATTTATAAAACATTTAGGAGGAAAGTTCAGAGATTAGTGGAGGAAAGCCACTATTAAAAGATTTCATGGTGTTTTGAGGGCAAAAATGTATTTCCTCTATAAACGAAAACAAGATTTTCTAAAATTTTAATATCAAAATTCAGTCCCTGACGCATGGTTTGCGAAAATTCTTTATTAACGCGCTAAACATGAGAAGAGCCAATTATTTTTTGTAGGTCGATGAAAAGAAGAAAAGAAATTCTCGTTGAAGCACTAGCCATGCGTTAGGTTTGTTTACGATTTGCAATATATAACAGTATTAGGAATTTCCAAAGGCCCTCTTCTTCTCTCTCTCCTCTTTCAGAAAATATTCTCGACATGATGTTCTACTACTATGTAGATGAACAGAATCTCAAAACGCATCTCACCCTGAAAGGTGGGGGACAAGAAGGTTTCTTCCTCCCTTCCATATAATATATATATGTATAAATATATATATTGAAGGGCCGTGAAAAAAATTCAAGAAGCTTTGACACAACATTTATCTCCCAAAAAAATGAAATTCAACTTCTCCTGTTTTTAGAAAGCAAGCAACGTAGAAAAAGTCGACGAATATCGATTTCGAACAAGTATGAACCAAAATCTATCAGAAACAGGGACACATTGTAGATATATTTACGCTTCGACAACCCAAATGTAACCAGATTTTGTACGAAATTTTCGTACGGTGACCTGCAAAGTTTTACAATTTTTGAAATATATATGTGCACAACCATGGAAACGCATTACTCTCCCGTGCAATGCTACATTTTTGCTAACCCTAAGCTTGTCAGCTCTCAAACTGTTTTTCTTTTGTTGAATTATCAACACTTTTCCATGCAAATGGCGGCCAATTCGCATTTTGCGTAAATCCTTGCATATAAAAGGTATAAATATCTAAACAGGTAGTTGAAAATACCATTCATTCAATCAATGTTGTTAAGAAAGGAGAACGTTGTTGATAGCACAAGTATCCTATGAATAGGTTGCGGGCCAAAAATACTACTCAGTTAAATAAATATATTCGCGATGATTATAAAATGGAAAAAGTTTCCTTAATGCATTTGTATATATATATATATATATTAGTAAAAGCTCTCTTAATTAATATTTAAAGCCGCACTGTTTATGGTTTATAGGAGATGGTTGAAAAGTTTCATTATTTAGCAATACGTTTACAAGTGCTGTGTCAACGCTTAGAGTGCATTTATTGAAATTTTTATGAAAACTATATTTCTTCTGTGTGTCACAATGCTTGAAATTTTTTAAAAAAAAGTCTCTACTTTTTTTCTTTTTTTTTTGTTTTTTGTAGTTTTTCTCTTACCCTACCTGCGCCTTGTCATAATTTAGTTTTAGTTCCATTTCCGCTGCGAACTAATCAAAAAGTGTAATTTCCGATTTGTATTGAGTTTTACATTTTTTCTTTCTAAAGAGTACTTTACTCGTTTTTTTTTTTTTTTTTTTTTAAATATGCATTGCAATGAATGACCTTTAATCAAGGGTGTTGTTAAAGCAAACAATAAGTTAAAAAAAGAGAAAAAAAATGCTGTGGCATTAAATATACATATAAATCTGCTGTCAGGCATTTGCGGGTAAAAATATAACGTTCAGTTCAGTTCCTTTTTCTTGTTATACTGTGCAAATTGTATATATATCGTTGTGGTCATTGCCACTAGCCTTGGTTTTCCTTATTTTTTTTTTTTTTTTTTAGTGTTGCAAGTCTCTAACTCACATGTTGTACATATATATACATATATATATATATGTACATATATATATACAATTTAGTTTAGTTACATTCATTGCACAAGTGCAATCATAAATTCATTGAATGAACAGCATGCTTAATGCCTACTTTACAACATTTGCAATACAACATGCAACATACATATGCAATATTATTGTGTATACCTTTGCATAATCCTCTAACCGTAAGCAACGAATGGAAAAAAGTCGAGACAAAAATGAGAAAGGGGTGGTGAGCGCGTAAAGTAAAGGCTCGTTTAATCTCTGTCTACAATTCGCTTGTATATATGTGTATGAATGGATATGTTTTAGGACTTTGCCTCTGCCCTTTTCGCTTCTATTTTTTTTTTTTTTTTTTTTTTTAGCCTAAGAGACGAGTTAAAAATTGTAGAAACGTTTGCTTTTATTTTATTTTATGAACTGCTTCCTTTTCCTATCGCCGCCAGTAGTCCACGTTCTGTGTTTGTCCTATGTGTTTAGTTTTGACTGTATGTTCTGTATTATTTTTACATAAACAAACATTAAAAAATCCCTACCGTTTGATACAAATGGGATTTAAAGCTACTATACTACCAAACTGGAAAAATATGCATATGTGTATATGTATATATCAACCATATATATATATATATACACCCGGTAATGTGTGCTTATTCGCTGTTGGCATCAGACTTGCTTAACATTAAACCACTACCACCACAACTATGTTTGCTCAACAACAACTACAGTTAATACCGTTAGGAAAGCAACAGTATATGGCTGTAAAAATTCATGTTTATATATATATATATATATATATATATACATGTTATATATGTCGCACCCGTAGAAGAAGAAGAAAAAGAAGCAAGAGTGTTGTGTTTGTCGGTGGTATGCTAATATCTCTAAAATGCTTTAAAATTTTATTTATTATTTTTTACGAGCTTTTTTCTGTTGTTTTTATTGTTGTGTTTTATATCATACACACATGTGTTGTGTGTCGCCATCTCCAACAAAAGCTTGTTTACGGTAGTAACTATGGACTACCAAAATAAAAAAACATATACAAGCTTGTACACATGCATTTATATATCATCGTATGTATGTTATATTTGTTTACATTGGTGTGGAATGTTCAGGTGTCAACGAGCACAGTCAACACTTTTTCAGGCGACAGCATTTGCTACTTTGTAAACCCAAGGTGAAAAAATACAAGCTTATAATCTCCTTTCTTTTTTTTGTTTTTTTTTTTTTTTTGTTATTTAAAGGGATTTCAGGCGCATTAAAGCAATTTGCCACCAAAATGCTTCGGATTCTTTTAGATGACATAAAAATATGCATACACTTTATAATTTTTGTATAAAACATTGTTTTTAAAGTTATCTGTTCGTTCAAATTAATTATATTCATTAACCTTAACTTTTTTCTTCTATTCTTTTGATGTCTGCTTTTTAGGTAAACCCTCAAAAGTAATACATTTGCGTAACATTCCAAATGAATCAAGTGACGCCGATGTAGTAGCGCTTGGCGTACCATTCGGTCGTGTAAACAACGTACTCGTATTGAAGGGTAAAAATCAAGCATTTCTCGAAATGACCGACGAAGTTTCGGCCACATCGATGGTCTCCTGTTATACCGTTAATCCGCCACAAATGCGCGGCCGCATGGTCTACGTACAATTTTCAAATCATCGTGAATTGAAAACGGATCAAAACCACGGTGTAAGTACACATAATATTTAATAACTAATATATAATATTTCGGATTGATTTTTGTTTTTGTTATTGGAAAAACAAATTATACTATCAATTAGATCTTATATCGAAAAATGAAAATGAAAATCAATTTCTTCATCATATCACTCGAATGATAATATTCCTCCTTATTACCAGCTTGGCTTAGCAGAAAATATTCACAACACGCTGCAATAATCGAAGCAAATTGTGAACATGATCTTGATTTTTGAATGATTCTCTCGCCCCCTTCTTCGATCTTTATCGGTTGTCTCCGTTGCATAGATCGAAGGCTTCCGTCACGGCACATTTCATGATGTCTTTGTCCGTGAAACATTTTCCCTATGTTTAATGCGTCTCTCTCAGAAATATTCTTATTTCAGGTTCTCTGAGCTTATTTTCTTCAAAAGGTTTCAAATAATCATATTTATTTTATTATTTATATTACTGGGGCAAAAATGCGGCGAGAGGGAGAGAGGAAGAGCTAAAAGAACTTCATGGCTTAACGTCCTCTCACTTTGCCTATCAAAGCAGCGTTCTGATGAACTCAGAACAATAACACTATTGTCTTGTCTCATTTTCGCCCAACCAAGATTTTCCTTTCCTCAATTATCTTGCGGCCCAAAATATTTCACGATTTTGAGCATTCTGTTTGATGCGGAAGACTCGGTCTTCTACTACCCAGCGAATCGAAGACTTATTCTTAGCTACTATCCAAAACGGAATAGTAGGTGCATCCCCTTAAAAAAGTAGGCGGAATGTCGCGGAGAAAATTTCATTTGAAAGAATTCTTTTTTAAAACATATCAAACATGCAACATGTAGAAAATTGTTGGTTAGCCTTTAAACTCTCGTTTTATTATCAATCATAGTCGAAGAAATCGCAACTTTTCAAGATATCCTCAAGATATTGATCATTCCTAAGCAACTTTGCACCTTAATGTGTTGCTCGCCCGCTATAAGTCAAATAGAACGGCATAAGTATAACTATATCCTTTTAAATATGCAAAATCCGCTTACTTGTCTGCTTATGCGTCTAAATGTGAAGTCTCGTTGCATACGCACATACACACACACGCACTCCTATAATTAGGCAAGATAAATATCGGAGTATATTTCCGAGTTCCCATAATAATTTCCTTTGCTTGCTTTTGGTTCCTACTCATTTGTTGTTGTGTGCGCAAGCAAGTTTAAGAAAAATCACACCCACACAATATGTGTTTTATATGTAAATATTCATGCCATTGCTAGTTATAACAATTAAAGGCATATACAAGAACATATTATCTTCATTGCCTGATAACAATAACAAAGCGAACTTGTTTCGTTCTATGTTAAATTCTGCACGACTTGTTTGTTACGTTCGATGTATATATCAGAAGTTTGCATAGATGTACATGTTCTGTGTACTTACTGTTTACATTGAGCAGCTTCTTTTAAAGGAGAAACACAAAAAAAAAAAAAAAAACAACAACAAAAAAAGCAACAAAAAACAAACTCAATGCATGTTATTTTCTCATTTAACAGATTTAAAGCCTGTGGCGTACAAGAGAATTTCTGTACGCATCAAGCATTCATTCATTTCTTTGTCGACACTCACTTTCGGGCTGTGTTGTTGCCAGTTGCAACAATGATCTAATGATGCATGGTAATCGGTAGGAGCAACACAAAAAGCAACAAGCAGTAAAACAACTACAACAAACAATTACGTTTACGTTTCCAATTAATTAAAATGTTAACATGTCCTCGTTACTTCGTTTGCGGTCTTTTTTCGCCCTCTTAGCATTCTTTGTTTTCCTTTTCTTTTTTTTTTTTTTCTTTTTAAACCAAAACTCGAAATGTTTTCTCTATGCCAGTAATATAATTGTAGGTTCTTGCTAATGTCATTATCGTCTATATTCCGATGCCAATATATATATTGAGATCAAAAAAAAAAAAAAAAAAAAGTCTATTAAAAAAATTGCTTAAAATCAGTTTGCAATAATTTTTTCGTAGCTTGAATAAATGAATGAACAAAAGTCGGCTTATGTATGGTGTGGTCAGTCGATGGCTACCCATATATCGTCACTAAACATTTGCAGAAGATTTCAAAAAATAACACTAACCAATAGTGTGTGATTGGTGATGTTGTTGTTGTTGTTGTTCAAGAAAAGAAATAGGAGAGAGAAAGGTCATTTGAAGTTTGCTTTGCGCAAACAGGAGCAACTGTTGTATACACCACCCAATAACGCTAACAAAGCGCTAAACAAACGTGTACGATGTGCGTTTTGTGTCTCTGACAACGGCAGCATTTTTGTGTGATTACCTTTTTCTGTGTTCTATGTGCTTTTTTTTTTTTGTTTTTTGCTTGTCACCATTCATTCAACGGATTTAGATGATGCACAGTACTGTACAAATCAACGAATACTTTTTGTTGTATGGGTTGAGCGATGTCGCACTTGGCTTAACTATAACTAATCTTCAGCATGTACGACGACACACGACAAAAGCAAAGCAACAAAAAGTAAAGTCATCGCCATCATCATCATCAAGACAGACGAACAGACATATTTCTTTATTCGTTTACGTATTGGATATGTGCGTATGGATGTGAGTGGTGAGGTGGGGACAGGGGGGGGAGGGGGTTGGAATCTTCTTTACACACGTAGCTAAAATCTTAGAAAATCCATAGATTTCAATTTCAATGTGTTTTTGATTTTTTTTTTTGTAATTTTTTTTCTCTTTTTGTCATTTTTTGAGGTTTTTGTCACATTTATAACATTTTTGCCAAACGAATGCTTTTTGCCATTGTTGACATTGTTATTATTGCTGAAAGCAATGTATTAAGGGGAGAATATTGCCGTTGTTGTTGTTGTTGTGTTGCATGCAACGAACTTCATCTTATTCTTATTTCATCAACATTGTGTTTGCCATTGTGTGTAAATAACATTCAAATACATATCTTACACTGCTATTTACTATTTACTCCACATATATCCTAACTACATATCAGTACATTGTCGTTGTGCTTGTGTGTTGTCTATCACCTACGAATCTTACGCAGCAATATATATACATAAATATAAGTGTGTGTGTGTGTGTGTGTGTGTGTGTGTGTGTGTATATATATGTGAGTTGTATGTAAGCAGGTGAGAAAGAAAAAAAAAAAAACACCAAAATATAAAACCCCAACAATCTTTCGTCTATTAAACTGGTAAAGAAACGGAAGGAAAAACGGATATGTTCGGCTACAAGGGAACAATATATAGTTCAGTTTAGGATGTGATGTGATGAATGCTTTTATCAAAATTAAAAATTTGCTATTCTATAATATCGCCTTTCAAAGGAATAAATTATACTCATATTATTTTTGCATATTTAATCAAAACGATAATCAATGCTTGACGCATACTCTCGTCTTCTAAATCGTATTCATCGTTCGTTCATTGCACATAAAGTGTACAATTAACTTAAAACATTTTAATCATTTATTCAATAGTCCAAGCTTGACCAGCCACTAAGCGCTTTGCTTACCTGCTTGCCTGCCTGCCTGCTTGCCTGCCTGCGTGCCTGCTTGCCTGTGTCCTGTTAATTAATTACTACTACCTGATATATGCACTATGTCCTATTTATTAATGTGTATGTGCATTTTCACTGCCCAGCCCCAACCACCCTCTCCTTTTCGGCCATCCTTTGTAAATGCATTGTAAAAATTAAACGCTAGGTGTTAGTTGAGTTTATCACTTTTTCTCAAAACCTTCAACCAACCAACCAACCAACCAACGTATTTTGTTTGTTGCTATATTCATTGAACGCCTACACCACACCTCACGGTACATATGATATAATGTATGCATAAAATAGTACACATTATATGCGGTTATGTGCTATTGTTTACCTTTGCAAAACTGCCAATTATAATGATTACACAAATTACTAAATAAAACAATAACAACAACAATAACGAAAACAATACCGAGTAATAAACCAAAATGGATAAGCACGTCCGCATATAAATGTATTGAATATGGAAACGTGAATTAACACATACAGAAATCGAGTGGTGCTGTCATCAAAACATATACATACACTTCGCATACTATTGCGGATTCTGTTTGTAAAGATACCAAGAAATATATGAAGATATAAATTCTCTTCACATAAAGAGTAAGGGTGGATAGGATTAATCTTGTCTCTTCAGCAGGGAGAAGAAGTTGAGAGAGCCTCATTAGTCAATTTACTCAATTAAAAATTAATCAGAAAATCGTAAAAGTATTCATGTCATGTCCGAAATTTACGAGATATTTAGCTAAAAGTCTTTAGCTAAACAACGAACGCTGTTTTGAAAGATGCGGGCGGGCGCCATTGGTTAATAATGAGCCTTTACCTATCACTGAAGGCTGAGATTAACCCATAAAGTATACATATTCTTGATCCGTCCGTCTGCTCGCCTGTGTGTAATGTCTATTGTAAACATTCTCCTCCTGGCCGTAAAAAAAAGGTATCGATTACACATTTAGTGGTGGATATATTGAAAGTTCGTGTGCACGAAGGTTAGTCGAAAGACGCCTACTCTATCACGTACTGAGATTTCTTATAAACCACAAGAAATAAATCCACGAAAATTTTAACGTATATTCTATGGGCAATGTGGCAGCACAAAAGTGGTAAAAATTGACTAAGCGCCCCCAGTGTTATAGAGAGCGAGAGAAAATACCTTTATATAACGCATAGAGTCAAGTTTCAAAAATACCATAAAGTATTTAAATTCTTAGTCAATTTCAAATTCGGAATTCATCTAAACATGTCTGTCCGTCTGTCTGTTTGCTCAACAGCATGGTATCTGTGATAAACATTCTCCCCTTCGCAAAAATGAAGATATCGGCCACTTTCACGCCCAGACTGTTATATAACAAAAAACGTGAACACTTTCGCTTTTTCCTCTCTCTTGCTCGTTACTCAAAAACTAAAACAGATAAACGATATAAGTTTCCACTAAATTATTCTAAA